AACATTGACAAATACATAGTTTAGGAAGAGCCTGCCTGAAACTATACAAAAAAGCAAATAAGCAAATGAATGTATAGAATTGACAACAACAACCACGCTGTCGAGTTTAAATAGCGGCAAATCAGCTGCACTTGATAGTAGTTGGTTGAATAAGGAAAATGAATTAGCAACAAGAGTTTACGGGATGTACATAGCTCAGTGGTTAACGCTTCTGACTTTGAACATCGAATTCGCAGGTTCGATCCCTGCTGAAGTCTAAAAAAAGAAGTCTGATGAGGAGATGTGGTGATCTCCGAAATAGTGCTATAACTTCTACCGCTTAGACTTTGTTGCTTTTCAATTTTTCCTAATAAACAATCGTGGTACAAAGCTCAATAAAAATATTAAAAACAAAATTATGTTTAAGTTTGTTAAAAAACGTATTTCTCTGTTCAAAAAGTTCTAATAGTTAACATGGAAAAACCAAAAGTAACACTGTTCAAAAAAATCATGTTGCTTTTTTCTTAGTGTAATCAGCTGCATTAACAGCTAAATATGTACGTATTGTTAGCGTCAGAAATAAGTTAACAGTGACGTATAGTTCTTGATTTAGTCTTGAGATTGAGCAAATCTCGTGAGAGTTGTTACATTTTTCGACAAAACGTGTTTTTGGGCGCACCGCGTGGTGGTTCACCTTTTTTAGAAAATGCACTATATCAGTTTTGTATAAAGAACAAGATTCCATTGCGAAATTGAAATTAAATAAAAACTTAAAAAAGATATATGTACTATAAAAGAAGTAAAACTAAGCACTCATGCTCATATATTTACACGTACGCAGTCATCTATCAAGTTTACTTGCACGCCTTAATTTAAAAGCGATATTATTTAAAAGTAAAAGTACTCTTTATGCACATTGTATACACATAACAATTTTAGATTGAATTTCGAGTGCACTAACAAAAATGTTAAAAATGGATTTTTAGTTTCCCAAATCATCCCAAGTCATCCTTTACTCAATGTAATTGTTTTTCATTTGGTGAGACACTAGCTAGTCTTATTACACTAGATTCTTTCGTTTTGACAACAAGAACATTTTCATAGTTTAATTTTAACATTTTGAAGTAACTTAAATTATTAGGATTAAAAAAAATCGTAGAATTTCAAAAATTACAAAATAGCTGCGACAGATATTCTGCATGCAGCAATTTTTTTAATTATGTGCACCTTGAAATTTCTCAGCTATGTTGCATTTGATGCCAACGTCCCTTGCCTCTATGAACATTCTATTTGAAAACTTCCCAACGTTATTAAAAAAAAAACACAGTTATGATTTTTTTGAGTGACAATGAAATGATTAGTAATTTCGATACTTTTTCGCCGAAACAAAGGTTTTAAGGCTAACATTTTTCAAATGCTTCATATATTTTTATTGTACTTGTTTTTGGAGCTCCATTGATTCAAATAAATGCAAGAAGAATGCTTTAGCTTTGTTTTCTGCTGTAAGAAGGGAGTGACAATAAAAATAATAACTCGTGAGATTTGCTTATATACACTAAAATAAATAAGAAAATGTTTGTTCAAATCATGAAAATTTTTTCTTCCAAGTAATGCATGAACACAGTATTTTTCTATGTGGAAGGGGAAATGCGGCATACTCTCGGCAAAAAAAAATCTCAAAAATGAACGGTAGTTTTAAAAGGACTTAAAACCTGCTGCAAAAGTGCACACTAAATTTTTTCAAGAAACAGAATTGAAGAGATGAAAGTTTCGCTTAAGATTTCTTGAATTTTCCTGAGTTCTGTATGAAATAACAAATTTTTATTCGTATGGTTTTTAAAGGAAATTTCATATAGAAAATATAAATTAATAAAATCGTCAAAACCTCACTCTGTTTACTTATTTTTGACGCTCACAGTACATATGTATATGTGCATGCATGTACGTCTACATACATACATATGTACATATACAGAGTGTAATAACAATTTGTTTTATTTTATAGGCAAGCCAAATCATAATGTCTTCGTAGTCTGGAAGTGCATTTCCTTATGGGCAAATTATTATCGGTTGTTTGACGGCCGCCATAACAGAGTCGCTTCACACTTGGTAGGGCGCCGCTTCGCTCCCTAGTCCACAATAATATGTACTGAGCGCAGCCGTAAAAAAGTTTATCCAAAATAATTTCTCGTTAACGGTGTAAAACTGTGCGTCCCCGCCATTTGCGTGACAATTTTAAGCAGCCCAACTCCAATCGGAGGAAAAGTGCGGCCAAACACTTAGCAAAGCGGTGGTTTTAATTTCATTTCAACTACTCTTTATAGCACACTTTGGCCTGTTAACCTGGCAACCGAGTATTGGACTCGAAGTGATTTCTCGCCGATTCATAAGCAGCATATCTCGATTTTTCGGTGACCTTCGTTGGTATTTAAGCCTTCTAAACGTAGCTAAAAGGTCTTAGCGTCGAAAGACCCAAGTATAGAAACAGTTTCTAAAACTAAAACTGGCTTTTTATATATATACCGCTGAAAACACAAGTTTACAGAAATAAAAAAAATTTTCTCACCTGGAACATATTTCTATAAATTCCAATGTATAATTTTCCATTGAATCCGAATGCCATATCATAAGATAAGATATAAGAAGGTACTTTCAGATTTAGCCAAATTTCGGTTTTTTTAGATCTGAAAGAAGTGCACTCACTTAGGGGCAATTGTCTTTGGACATAGTCGGATAATCCCAAATTTCGTTTTATATTGATAAATGCTTTCGGTACAAACATCAAGATGAAAACATTTGTTTCTTTCAGGTAAAGAAGAAATTTCGATATTGGCCAACTGTAAAAATTCACCTTTTTTCAGATGTCAAAAAAAACGGAAATTTTGCTCAGATATCTCAGAAACTGTTCTACATGTTTATCTTTTGACTCCATATCCCGAGAGTGGAGAATTTAACTAAACAAACGATGGTCAAATGCTACAGGTTGAATTCAAGACTACTTCTTCGATTTCAAGTAAGCGCGGTTTAAGATAAGACAAAAAACAAAGAGTATTCACGTATCATATCACTGTTGCAGTGATACCTTCAAATAAGGCTATGTGAAATACCTTGTATGCTTTGAACTCGATATAAGTATCAGCTATGAAGTGTCACTGTCCTCAGGTCGTAGCCCTTTAATCGTTTACCCAATGCGTCATCAAAAGAATGAGTTCTGCCTCTACCAACTGCTGGGTTTATCTGGTTTTTAAACGGATATTAAATTGCAAAGGAATCGTTTTTGGCCATTACCTTGCCATAGCTGATAAAAAAAGTTTCCCAAATGCGTGGACTTCTGCACCCAAAACCATCCTCATACTATATAGTGTATAATTCAGATCATTAAATTAAACATTGAAGGAGGCTGATATCGCCGACGCCCACATTAGATATAGCACCACCACTGCCCCTATATTGCACTTCCACAGCAGTTTCTTTGAGATCAGTTCGATGTACCCAGTTGAGGGAAATTTCATGCAGGGATCTAATACTTGTGAAAAGTTAGTGCTAAATCCACTTCAGCCGGATAATAAATCCGTGTCATATAGAGTTATTCATTTCGTATTTATGGCATTTTGTAAATTAACCACAAGTGGATAAATAACGGGGTCTAAAGAGCTTTCAAAAGCAGCAACGTCAAGCTCATAGATCCTCCGTTCCTTTAAGTGCATCGGATTGTTCTTACCTGCTTTTTGTATGAACACCGGCATAAATAAATAAATGCTTGCCTCTAAAATATGTATAGACAGCAATCAAAAACACCGATAAGGTAACAACGAGTCAATATCCAGCTACTTTCTACATACTTACTTGTACATACTCGTACCTACCTACATGCATGCATACTTATGTGTGTATACGGTTATGAAAAAGTAATTTTTCGCTTTATGTATGTCATGAAATTTGTTATGAATTAAGTTGGAAAAGGCAAAAATATTTCCGCCTTCATAAATATGTACATATGTATGTATGTGCATAGGTTGTCACCACCCCTTTGACCAGTTGTGTCACATATGCATATATTTATGTATATGGACATGAGACTTGATCGCAAGATATGTACATACATACAAACAGATGTACATATTTATATTTTTATATGCTTACACAGAGTAATTAACATTGCTGGTTTTATTGCTATTGCTTAACCCATTACGATTAACATTGAGCGCAGATAGAATTTTGTTTTTAATAATAAAATTTATTTTTATTTTGTTTTTTAAATAGTTGTATAATTTAAGTTTTATGTAAAGTGTCAACTGGCATTTGCTTTCGTGAGAAATGATGTTTTGTCTATTTTTAGACCATATGGAAGACATGTTGCTCATGCGCTAATGTTTTTTGTTTCATTTGTTGGCTTTTTCAATTGTTTTGTAATTTTTACTCATTCGTAGAATTTTATAATACTTAACGGGCGAGTTTCATGTGTTTGGGTTCGGCTGTTTAATAGGAGAAGGGCCTTGATGGTTTGTTGTAGTTGTAACCATCTGGTCCAAGAGATCCAGCCTCGGGACCACTAGGACCGCCAGGACCGCCAGGACCTTCTGGACCCTGAGGACCTTCGGGACCTTCTGGGCCTGTCGGACCATCCGGTCCACTTGGACCTTCTGGACCACCTGGACCCGCAGGGTAACTGGGTTCCGGCCTGGGTGCTGGGTATGTTGGCTGCGGCGCTGGTTGAGTTGGCTGTGGCGCCGGGAAAGACGGCTGAGATCCAGGATATGATGGCCTTGGTGCTGGGAATGTCGGACCTGGCGACGGTTGTGCGGGCCGCGGTGCCGGATACGTAGATTGACCAACTGGCTGTGAGGGCTGTGGTGCTGGATAAGTTGGTTGTGGCGCCGGTTGAGCTGGCTGTGGCGCCTGATACGTTGGTTGAGGTCTGGGTTGTGGTTGTGGTTGCGGTTGTGGTCGCGGTTGCGGTTGCGGTTGTGGTTTCGGGCGTTGAGCTGGCTGCGTTGGGCCTACTTCATTTTCACCGGGGGGTGGCAAGTATTCGGGACCAGGCTTTGCAGGCGTCGATGGCTGTGGCTGTGGGCGTGGTTGATAAGTTGGTCCAGGGGAAGGTGGTTGCGGTCGCGGTTGGTATGGTGTACCAGGAGTAGATGGCTCTGGACGTGGCTGGTATGTAGGACCTGGCGCAGGGGGTTGGGGTCGTGGCTGGTATGTAGGACCTGGCGCAGGTGGTTGGGGTCGTGGCTGATATGTTGTACCAGGGGTAGATGGCTGCGGGCGTGGCTGGTATGTAGGACCTGGCGAAGGTGGTTGTGGGCGCGGCTGATACGTAGGACCCGGCGCAGGGGGTTGAGGTCGTGGTTGGTATGTGGTACCTGCTGTTGGGGGGATATATTCAGGTCCTGGTGTTGGTTGTGGTTGCGGCTGCGGTTGTGGACGTGGCGCAGGATATGATGGCTGTGGTTGTGGTTGCGGTCGCGGTTGTGGTTGCGGTTGTGGTTGTGGTTGTGGTTGTGGCTGGGGAGCTCCGTAAGAAGGCTGTGGTTGAGGTTGAGGCCGTGGGCGTGGAGCCTGATATGTTGGCTGAGGCTGAGGCTGCGGCTGAGGTTGCGGGCGTGGTTGTGGCTGTGGCCGGGGTCTTGGCTGCTGGGGTTGTTCAGGAGGAAGATATTCGGGGCCTGGTTGTGGTGATGGCGCAGGACGGCTAGGCTGAGGTTGCGGTTGTGGCCGCGGAGCCGGAGCCGGAGCTGGGCGACTTGGCTGTGGCTGTGGCTGCGGTCTTGGCGCAGGATACGATGGCTGTGGTTGTGGCTGAGAGGATGGATATGAAGGTTGAGGCTGGGGTTGGGGTTGTGGTCGAGGTGCGCCGTAAGTGGGTTGAGGCTGGGGTTGGGGTTGAGGTTGCGGTTGTGGTTGTGGTTGTGGCCTTGGGGCTGGGTAGGATGGTTGTGGCTGGGGTTGGGGTTGAGGTTGTGGTTGTGGCCTGGGAGCTCCATAGGATGGTTGTGGTTGGGGTTGAGGCTGTGGTCGAGGTTGTGGCTGTGGGCGAGGAGCTGGGTACGATGGCTGAGGCTGCGGCTGTGGTTGCGGTTGCGGCTGCGGCTGCGGCTGTGGCTGGTAGCCTGTATCGTCTATCTCATTGCCCGAAGGTGGTGGTGGAAATGGCACCGATGGCTGTTTGTAATGATAACCATCCTCTTGCAGGTCACTACTCAGATGAGAAACATCAGCAAGCACTCCATTCGAAGCCACAAAGGCAAACAGCAGGGCTAATAATTTCTGCAAAGTACAAACAAATAATAGAAAAACCAATTAGAATTTTTAATGAAAGGGATGAAGACGAGCAGCAATTTGAATATGTATGAAATATGAATTCAGTAAGGTATATTGCAATCAAGCATTCGTATAGAGGTGGCTGATTACGCAAACTAAAACAAAATTTGCGTGTTTTATGCGGTCCATAATTGCTCGCAATGCGATTTACTACATCCGCGAGCTAATCAGCCAACCAAAATCTGCTTTTGATTTATTCAACAATTCTCGACATCTACTCGGCCAAGTGAATTGAAGAAAACAACAGTTGAAAACAAACAAAACATCCATTAGCTATTCAAAAGTCGACTTCATAGTTACTATCTAGAGATACACATGTACATATATATGTATGTATGTGTTTGTAAGCAAAGTGTTCGTTAGTTGAATCATAGCCCGCCCTTTAGAAATGTAATGACGGTTTCATACTTTTTCACTAATTCGTGATGGTATTTACAATAAGCTGGGAACTTCGTTTGTGCTTTAAGTTCGCTTGGCTTTGGGGCTCGCTCGTTGCAGCACTTCCAAGTCACGATTTCGAAATAATTCCGGCAATATGACTAAAACTATGTTTTTTTTTCTATCGTTGGCTAAGCCGAATTTCTCCATAGCTTCTTTTGTTTCTAATATCAATGCAATGGATGGCGTAGTCAGCTTCGCCGAAGTCTCAGATTTTCTCAGATGACTGCAGCTTCGATTTACCAATTTTGGCACAAACAAAAATTTTCTTTGTATGTTTGTTGCATGCCGTGCTCAGCGTTTCGACTTTGTTGTTGTATTAGTTGTTTTTAGTATTACGTTTTTCTGTTCTTTGTTTTCACTGATGACATAAATCTGGCTGCTTAGCACACATCGTCACAGTTGGTCATAAATCACATTTTGAGCTGGTGGCATAGCCAATGCTATAATATAAGTGCATGTGTTGCACAATTCTGGTTTGCTGCAAGTTACCTTATTGCGAAATGCGAAACTAAGGTGACCGATAATTTTTTTTTTTTTGTTTTTTTTTTTTTGTTTGTTATAACTCACCATTCTCAAGTTTCATTCGCTAGCGCCCGAGCCACGAAAACGATTTTTACTTTTATTAACACAACTTAATAGTTATCCTTCAGCATATAACAATGTTCGTGTACAGTAATATTTAATAACAAAATGACGTTAGTATCGCGAAACTTAAATGGCTCTTAAAATTCACTTCGACTTCGACAATTTGTTCACGCCAGTCGCACGCCCGAAATCCAAATGCTGACCAATTGTTCTCGCTCAGCTGAATTTATATGAAAATCGCGTGGCTCAGTGCTGCAGCTCCGCCGCTAGGGAATTCCAACTCTCACAGCGCGCAGCCGCAGCATCGATCATAGCTTCATAGCTTCTCCAATTGTAGCATCTCCATGCCGCATGCCTACGACTCTTTCCCTACATGCTTACAATACCTATTAGATGCGGTAACTGGCTAAGCGCGCTGCCAAACAGCTAAGACGCCGGCAACCTCAATCGCAGCGTCATCATCATAGCCAAAGCAACAAGCTCGACGTGAGGCTCCCCGACTAACTATGCCGGCGGCAACAAAAACAGCAGCAGCCAGCAGCAGTGACAGCTTCTGAATAGCGTACACCGAGCGAACGAGAAGATACACAAAGTAAACAAACTAAACGGGCGTTGTCGCCTGTAAAGCAGCGCGGCGCGGCGCGACGCGGCGCACGCTCAGTATCATAGACTAGCTCGACGGCGAGCGACTGACTTCATAAAGGTTTTTCCAAGCCCAATCATCATTAGAGCCACAACAAAGAGCCATCATCATCGCGTTCAGAGACGCTGACCGAATCTCAATGTATCGATTTAATTGTTATTGGAAACTCGCTTTTAATAATCTGTGCAACGGAGATTAATTTATAACAATTTTTTTTTTTTATTTTTAAATTTTCATTAAACATTGCAAGTACTATACACTTATCAAATATTATACAATATAAATGCAATTGGTGATTGCAAGTTTCCCACGCTCTGGGTCAGAAGTTGACGCCAAGATTTGGAGTATTGGAGTATGCAGTATTACTTCACAAACTGTTGGCCATCAGAATCTTATGAACTCAAACCGAGCCAAGGGTGACTAATCAAATGCACTGGTTGCTTGTTAGCCGGAGCCATATCGTTTCGTACGTCAGCAAAAAAAAAAAAAGAAAAATTGCCTCTCCAAATGATGATGGAAGCCTAAAAAAGATCCGGCAAACTTTTTTCCAATTCGTGTCAATATAGTCACGGGCTGGCCAAAAATGGTTATTTCAGAGGCTTCCAGTTGTATTGCTGGAACCATTTGAAAGTTGAAACTTTATCCCTAGTGCGAAAAAAAATATTTTATGACGTCAGCGAATAGGTTAATGCTGTCAAATCGATGAAAGGTTATCGGTTGGCGCCATCTTTATTTTCTACATCGTGGCACTGATATATGTACGTACATACAACAAGCATTGATAAGGATTCGAGATAGAAAACTAATAGTGATTTCGTTTCTACCAAAAAATGTTGCCCCTTTCTATTTTCTATTCCGGGGAAGGCAACATTTTTTGGAAGAAACGAAATCACCATAACTCTAGGCGAGATGTAACAATTGTAAACCGTGTTCAAAGCTTGTAGGGCACGTTATAGAGAAAAGTTGATATTTCTCTATTTTGACTATAGCCAGAGTGAATATTTCCTAGAGTTGCTTTACCGTGTAAACTTAATTGATAGAGGAGATTTTTATTTCAGTAAAACTCTAGCTGCTAGTAAAAAGTGGCTGTCATTAAAAATGTAGTAGACAGACTGCCCAAGTGTGTCTCACTGATGATGCGCTCAAAATTGGTTAGAAAGTGCCTGGCGTCGCTCTAAATTTGGTTGGTTTAGTAGACTTTTTTGAGTACCTGGCCACAGTTATATTACTTGGCTCATGAATTGGCGATAACGTGTAATTTTGAAACGATATTACCGGACAGGGGGCGAATGGAATGCCACGGACTACGCAGAGGTCATTCATATGTGACCCTGGCGGTCAAAGTAGCTCCTTGAAGCTTACAGAACCTCAGTTCTCGCGCGTAGTAGGGATCGTAACACTGATCTAAATCTGACCCTTGCCTAACACTTCATATCATTGGCTCTATAGTTAAGCGATTTACTCATAAAGAACAACCTTTGCAATGCCCAACTGTGTTCTAATCTACGACCACTGTTCCTAACTTACATAGAAGGTTTTTTGTATTACTGGACTGCAGAATATCTCTGAATAATTTATACTTGTCGCCGCCAATATGATGTTCACGGAGCACGAAAAAAACAGTTTGGAAGTATCCACTTAGCGGATCTCTTCAGCTGAGGCGAAGAAAAACGCGGTACAGCTTAATCCCCCACATGCAAGCTATTCAAATTGGTATATACTACTGTGACTGAACCCGCTTTTTTCCAGAATTGGACAGTGACTCACATAGTGATCGCTGTCTTCCACTCTCCTTCGCCCTTCAGCCTTGTAACCACAATAAAAAAGGCACTTATGCACAAATAACCAACAAACTTCAGAGCTTAAAGCTTTTATAAATGGTTCATGGCTAAATTGGCGTTGGTTACTTTTCCTACAAACGTCTCTTTACAATATTGAAAGCAAGGTTTTACAAAAAAATTTGATTAGAGCTAACTCACCTGTGGCATGGGGCCAAGAACTGTTCCAAGGTGTATTAAACAAGGTGGTGTTGGGGCGACAGCTGAGTTTTTCGCCGTGGAGGCCATTACGTCAAAATGATGTGTTTGTTGTAACTCATACCAATGACAGTATGGACATCAGCGTATAATTTGTTAGTGTAATTTTTTACTTATATACGGCCAACACCACCTTGTTAAATACGCCTTGAACTGTTCCATATCCAAGTATCCATGGGAACATCATTAAATTAAAGCGTTTAGATTTGAATAGCGTTATTTTGAGTAAATCTCTTTGCAAATTTTATTAGTCAGAAATGTCTATTTAAAAACTAGCATATCAATGTAATAAGTCACTTAGATTCACATTTATGCACAAAAATCTTTATATTTATTTTATACCACACCTATCTACTTACTATATGTGCATTTCTAAAAATGCACCGCCTAGCTGACAATTCAACCGATTGACCCAAAAAATAATAACTCAAAATAAATTTTAATTTATTATTAAATTTTCGAGCATAAACAAATTTATGCAAATAAACAACAATCGCGCAAACAGAATCTTTACTACACTCATGAGAATGCGGATTTTTCGATTTAATATTGTCACCGTGTCGCCAATAATCAATCCTACATATTTCATTTGATTTGTGCTTTTGCTGCTCTTTCTGCTGCACACCTCCATATACACACACACACACATACATTCTTTCTGATGAAATCGAAATTAAATTGATAATGTGCCATACATACAAACATACAAAAAATACCTGCACGCATACATGCATACATACATAGCTACAAAAATGCATCAGAAGTTCTTTTCATTACATAATGAAAGATTTGTACGCCGGATTGATTTGGAATGACGAAACCACAGCTGAATTGAAAATTATTTTTAGCGGTTTTACCTTCACACCTCCGAATGCATTAGGGTAATCTAGAATTTGTAGTTTTTGCCGAATCTCGTCTTCGTGTATATAGATTCTGCACTCTGCGACTTTGATGCCGCTCTCAGATTTCACACTTTTGCAGTACGTGTTTTTGTTATTTTTTTTGTAATTTTTGTATAAACGTGCAGACTTGCACTAATCGAGAAAGGTTTCTTCAATTTATTTGCTTACAAAACCAGTGAAATTAATTTTTTACGGAACAGCGGATTTATCGAATTGGCATCCCCAATGGATCGTGCCAATGGATCTTAACTCTCCAAACGAGCGTAGATCCGTAGAAGAAGAAATTTTGTAACCCGTTTTATGTACATACTTATATACATACATATGTTTGCATTTATTTAATGATATATTTTTTACATATAACTTTGCAATTATTAATAGTTAAAGCAAGCGATTGCAACCATTGTTATGATTTCGATGAGATCATATACCTACGTAAAAAAAATTACTTTTTATTTTTGTAATTATTTTTTAGGTTTCTAAACTGCATAAAAATGCAGTTGAAAATTTTGATGACAATACTGAACATTATTTTTTAATTATTCCTATTGTATTTAAATTTACATACATATAACAATTGTTATTAGCAACTATGTAGCTGCATAAGGTACTTTAAAGTCACTTACAATACACTTCAAATGTCCGTTGAAGGTATAAATGTAAATGGCAGCTTATTTGAAAAGTGATGGTAAGAATAAAGGCTACAAAGACATTTTATACACATACAATAACATCTTGTATACATAATATGTATGTAATATTTACGTATTAATGGCTAAAAGACATATTTTGCGATTTTTTAACACAAATTAATGGACCTACATTGAGACATTTGCTGTAGCTCGGTTAGTGCATATCTTCGCCTGGATAAAAGATTGTCGTATGCTACATTTGGAAGGTTTTGGAGAAATTATGACTGAAGTTTGGTATGCAATTTCTTAAAACTGCGACGATGGATTTTCTCCAAAATCAAACAGTCCAACATCTAATAAATAAAGTAACTTTTAGTAAAAGCCTGCATAAAAAAAATAATCGCATATAACTTGCATACTATTTGCACTAGAGCCAAACAATTTTGCACAGTATCATACTACAATAATACCTATCTAAAATTTATAAAATAATCGATGTATACACCTTTTTAATACTCGAGGGTCCCACTTGAGAAATTTGTACTCTCTATAAAAATTTTTTGTTGCACCCGCTCAATTGGTATGCCTAAATTCTCAGCCACCTAACACACCTTTTTCGATGATCGTCCAATATCATTCCATGGATTTTATTGAAGATTTATGGCGTGACCACCTCTTTTGGGTAAGCTTTACGAGCTTGTGTGCATTATTTCTCCTTATTTGACTTCATTGCCCTCTTCTTGCTGCTTGAGCGAAGCGGGCAATGATATTTTTCGGTAGAAAAGAAAACGCTATAAATTTGAATTTATTTTCCATTCATTCTCTTCATATCTATTAAAGGATAAATATTATTTTAATTTAGAAACCCGCAATTTCGAAGTGGACATCTCCCATAGGCGAATAAAAAGTATGTGACCATCGGTGTCCCCATATGGGAGCTTTCACTGTATATGCAGGAACGCATAA